CAGCGCGGCGGCCGCGGCCCCTCGGAGGGAGCAGCTGTTGGCGGGAAGCTGCTCTCCCTGTGCGGGGAGCGGGGGCGTGCGTAGAGGTGTTTTGTCTGTTTGCGGTTTTAGGGCTGGATTAAGCACCTTTAAAAGGCTCTTTATCTTAAACGTACGCTGTTAAAACCGTGCTTATCATCGTGCTAACTTCCCGCCTCAGCTTTTTCTGGGAGCAAATGGGTCAGTGAAAGGACTAGTTCGGATTATTTTTTTTTTTCCTAGCTTGTCCTATGAAGAAATATAAACGTTAATCTTTTTGTAGCGTGTCAGGCATATACGAAAAAAATCTGGTGATTAAGCTTTTGTTTGAGGTTATACTATTGAGGAGACTTTATATCAAGGCAACCTGCTTCTCTGTGTTGTTTCTGAAAGGAAAAGGGGGTGTCTGACTTCTGTGAAGCTGGACAAAATTTTGACAGTTCTTTAGGTCCTTTGCACAAGTTTGTATTTTGTGTTTGTATCATGTAAGATAAATAGGTAAGTGAAGTACTTTTTTTTTTTTTTTTTCCTTTTTTTTTTTTTTTTTTTCTTTAGGATGCATATTGTTAGGTTTTTCTCATTTCTGTTTTGGTAAACGATACCAATGCCTGATTCTGGGCATGGTCATAAACGAGTGGCACGTTTTGGCTTCCCTCGCCATTACTGGGCCATGCAGAATTTAATTCACATGTGCCATCATCCAGGATCTGGATGTCTGTGGCAAGGCATGAGTCAGAACTAGTTTAACAGCAAAGATTTGAATCCCTTCCCTTCCCAGCCTATGCAGAACTCTTTTAATTGCTCAGTTTTTGTTAACTTCTGAAAATGAAACTACCTGTAATCGTTAAAATTGGTGTGGATCCTCAGGAGGAGTCAGTGGAAAGCTGGCTGTGGGCATTTTGGCCACAGTACTGGTTTTGGTCTCTTGTTCGAGAGACGTGGTGTTATAAATGCTGATGTTTTCACCAGTGTTTTCTCACAGAGGTGAGCTGGAAGAAGAAATGCTAACATGAATACAGTATGTTTCATCCACTTTAATAGGACTTTTAAATGTCACCTTTCAGTTATGACTTTTCTGAAGTGTTCTAACTGGGGTTAACAAGAAACAAAGCCCTAGCTTTCCTTTTAAAGACAGTTTTAGTGAAAATAACCTTAGAACAGCACCATCTCTTTTGTTAAGTAGCTTTCTAGGATGCAGCGGGAAGAACAGCAGACTCTGTTAAGTATCTTCTTTTAACTTTGACATCAATGTGATGTTGTACGCAGTTGTTAAGTTTGGATGGCGAATTTCTGAAATTAAGAGAAATATGATGGTACTGCAGTCCATCAGGTAAGACAGGTCACTGTAAAATCATAGTAAGTGCACACTGTAACTCTTTCTCGTTTTTTCTTCTGCTTCTAGATCCTTGACTATTTTACCTAAGTGATGGAAGCATACACTAAAGAAAAAAAACCCCACAACTTTGGGTCTTTGGCATTCATATTTGTGTGAAAGAATCTAGGATGTTCCAAGAAAAGGCATCAGCGAATTGCTTAAATATAACAACATCTACTGAAGATGGTGCTTTACAAAAAAAAACCCATAGTGCAAGAATCCTTAGCCCAGAAGAAGCTGAGAGACTGGCAAAAGACCGGGTTTTGGTGTCTGAGTTCAAACAACTAAAACTGGAGAAAGAGGCACAGAAGAACTGGGATCTGTTTTACAAAAGAAACAGCACCAACTTCTTCAAAGACAGACATTGGACAACCAGAGAGTTTCAAGAGTTAAAAGCATGTCGGGAGGTGAGATCTATAAATCTATAAAAATAAGATCCCATCCTCTGTAAAAGATGGGATTGATTGTTTCTAAATGATTTAATAATACTTATAACAAAGCCATTAGGGTAAGAGCTGTTGGTGCGCAGAAACAAACTCTACGACTCAGAAAGAGTTATAAAGCAGGTATGTTTATTCCGACCGAGGTGCAAGGGGATTTATCCACAAAGCTTGCACACCGTCTCTGGCAAGTAGACAAATATTTATTACAACAAAACATACATATTCATTAGGAAGGGCGGGGTTATTACAATAATCTTGGGGAATAGGTGTGATTATTATAATTATTCGAGGGGTGAAGTACTTGATTTTCTTCACTGTGTCTGTTTGCAAAGTCCAGATATCTCCTTCCTAAATCGGCAAGATCATCCTCTCTAGATAGCATCTCTGAGTCCTTTTGTTCAAGTTTAAGTTTGTCTAAGTGCCCATTCTGGGCTTTGCTTCTGCTATCGGTGAGTTGTCCTTTTAATTCATACCACCCGGCTACCTGCTACTTTCTTATCATAGCCAATCCCCAAGCTATCTGGTAAGCTACATTGAATCCACAGAACAAGTATGGACAAGAAGGATTCTTAGACAATGTTCAGAAATCATCATACGTTGCTATAAGTAAATAATTTGCAAGAAAAGTGATTATTTCTCTGTATCACTGTCCCATGTTAAGTTTGCAGTGCCCTGTGTAGTTTCTCTTAATATCAAAGATCCCACCTCAGAATCAGATGCATCAGTTCGGTTTCAGTTTATAATTGACCCATACTGGATACTGAGAATGAAATCTGAAATGTTTTTTTTGTGTCCTAAATAGGCACCTTGTCTCTCTGTGGTGTCATTTTCAGATACAAGTTGGTGCACTTCAGAATGCTTTTTAAAGAAAAGCATACAAAATTACAGACTAACTGAAAAACATGATTAAGGGGAATAGCCAGATGCATCTGTTGTTCATTATAGCTGAATGAAAGACACGACAGAAATGGTACAACAATCTGTTGATTACTTAAGGGGTAAATGACTAAGGAAATATTAATATATTCTAAAAAGATTTATAATTTTATAAAACACAAGGTTTCTATTTTGTAGTGTCAGATTATCCAGTGGATGCCTACTTTGGTTTTTGAATCAGTGGTAATTAGATTTGATTATAGCTTTTAATATGTTGAGTGAACAATGTGATGTCTCTGTTCATATAATGAGGAAAACAAAAATGATGTGCTTTATCTTGGATTTCTTCTTCCCCAGTTTGCAGATCAGAAACTGACCATTCTGGAAGCAGGCTGTGGGGTTGGGAACTGCTTGTTTCCACTCTTAGAAGAAGATCTGAATATTTTTGCATATGCCTGTGATTTCTCTCCTAGAGCTGTTGAGTATGTGAAGGTTGGTGTGATATTTGGAACTTCTTTTAGACTGTCTTCAGAAGCATCTGAAATTACAAATGACTGGAACGACAGACTTCCCTCCCTTTTTTTTAAGAAGGGTAGAATAGCTTTTGCCAAAAAATGGGAGACTGGTCCATTTTAGTGGAGCTCCTGTGCAAGAAGCCAAATCATTGCTCAAGATCTAGTTTTTCAGCGTCAAATTCAGCGTAGTGTTATGGTAATATATGTATATTACTTGAATGATTTGTGAAGATTGTGTTTCTGGGGAGCACTACTATGTCTCTGCTCACTGTGCAGTGCAAGCAAATCTTTTTGGCATGGAAGCTTGCTGTTGATATTTGTGGTACAGAGGGAGTCTCAAGGAGGATCTTGAAAACGGGGCTGTGAAAGTTATTGTTAGGGAAATTTGTAGCCTGAATAGAAATAGTATGTTGATGCTTATTCATATGTAGGTGGTAATGCAGTCTGAAGTTAAGTCTTCCAGCAAGGCTGGTGAGGGCTTTGGGCTTTAAAAGTCTTCTGATTTATTAAGTTTGTAATCACAGGTAGATTTCTATATATCTGTTATTTGAAAGCATTCTCTTGTGGGACAACCACAAGATACATGCTGCATATCTCATGGGAAAGATGGTAAGATATATGTACAGCAAACAGGAGAGGGGACAGCAGCTCCCTGGGATACCACTGCTGCGTTGCAAGCTGAGGTTGGGCTGAGTGTGTACCCTGGGTTTTGGATGACTTGGTGGTGTCTGCCTCCACAGCTCTTGCTGAATTTCTTTCTTGCCAAGACCAGGTTTCCTTTTACTCTGCAAAACTGTGGGCTAGAACAGCCCAACTGCAGATTATGTGACATGAACTTGAACTGTTTACAGTGTACTTATAGCTCAAGAGCTGTACTTCAATCACTTTGTAATACAGAATTTCTTTTAATAATATTTTTATATTTTTAAAGAGTAGAAGCAGCAGTAAAACAGAAATGGTATGTTTTCTGAACCGTCTTAACACACATTCCTTCTCAAACTCCTGAGAACAGAGTATTCTGGTAGTTGTAGTTTCATTATTGTGGTATGCAGTGAAGAATTTCTGATTGCATTAGTCATCTGATGGAAGTTAATGTTCTTTTGCCACCATGTTTTGCCATGTTTTGTGTCACTCTACTGATTAGTTTCACAAGGTTTTTTTACTTTTTTGAAATAACAAATGCTGGTAATTTTCAGTGAAAGCATACTCTTTAATTTCCCTAGAAAAATGCCTTGTACAGTACTGAAAGATGTAAAGTGTTCCAGTGTGATCTTACCAAAGATGATCTTCTAGAAAATATTCCACCAGATTCTGTGGATGTTGTCACACTTATATTTGTACTTTCTGCCATTCACCCCGACAAAATGCATCTTGTCTTGAAGAACATTTACAAGGTAAAACCAGCTGATTTTACAGCCTTTAAAGCACTTTCCTTCTTTTTAGCTTGAAAGTACAATATTTTTCTGAGAAAGTAACCCCTCTTGTAATGGTGATTCTTGATGCTATATTCCAGGCTGTATTTAGTTAGTTCACCTAGTGTATGGGACTAAAATATGTTTTACAATGTTTTTTCTCTCTCTTGTTATTGTGAGGTTGTTTGGATTCTGAGCTAATGCAGTCAACATAATGAGAAGGTATTTTGAACCTGTGACTTGAGCTCCTAGGTTGTATGCCACAAATAATGTTTATGAACTGCAGAAATGTCGGTCTTTATCAGGTGTCAATGACAGTGAATCATACAGTGACTTACAGTTAGGATGTTATTGTTATTCTTAAACACACTTGATCTGTGGTGATTTAGAAGTGGGGTGTTCAGAGATCAACATTAATCTAGAGATACTCGTCTCCCTGGGCTGCCTTTGTTAGTTCATAGACTAGGATAGGCTCGTCCGGAGGGTGGTTTAAACAGTGTGAATTGTGATTGTTCTGAAATTCCCTGAGATGTCATATATTGACTACAGAGGGAAATAGTCCACATATTTTTTTTTAATTTATGCATATGTGTATATTTGGGGATTTATATTATCAGTCGACCTGTTTGTTTTATCATCAGTAGTTTGAAAAGGGGATGTTAGATCTTTTGGTATATATCCAGCTGTTTTCCAAAGTCAGGATTGATTCTTAGCTCGTGCGCATGAAAAAGCTAATTATTGTTTTCTCTGTGGAGATGCCTGGCTCATTTAACTCGCTTGTAGGTTTCTGCACAAATTTGCAAGTGGCATGTACTCCTTTTCTTCTCTAACAAATACAGCTGGCATTTGATGAGGTAGGAAAGAGGAAAGTGGCGTGCATCAAATATCTTAAGTCAGCATGGCCAATGCCCATGTATTTCTAAATTTTAAACTCTTTATGGCTTGATTTCTTTATCAAAGAGCAATTAAAAAAGAAAAAAAAACAACAACCAACCTAAACCTGCAACCATTTAAAAATTTTCCTTTTTTATTTCTTAAACTGTATTATTTTCTTTTTAAACTGTATTATTTTCTTCTTTCCTCTTTATTTGAAGAGTGTTGCAAAAAGCTTGTTTAGCTGATCAGCACCCAGACAAGTGTGTTAAAACTGTTTGTAGTCTAGTGTTCATGGGGAAGCATTTTTAAGAGCAGACTAATGCAGTTTTTATACAACTTTTTTGTCACACAGGGTATTAATTCAAAATATATATATATCTATATATATATATCTATATATATCACTTCTGTATTGAATTTGTTAGGATACCTTGCCTTAGTTATATGTGTGTGTGTATGTATACAAATTAAAAAAAAATATATATGGCTAAATTCTTTTACCTTATTAAGGCATATATGTATTATGTGACAGGTATTGAAACCAGGCAAGTGTGTCTTGTTCAGAGACTATGGACTGTATGATCATGCAATGCTCAGGTTTAAATCTGGCAGTAAACTTGGAGAAAACTTTTATGTTAGGCAAGATGGGACAAGATCATACTTTTTTACTGAAGGTAAGACATCCTATAGAGTGCTTTCTTTTCTGAATCTTCTGGTGAAATTTGCTTTGGGGAATTGTCAGCATGCCCGTGGAAGTTTTGTTTTAAACAATTGAAATGTTAAAATTGTGGTGTACTTCATTTGCCATCCATTTTGGAAGGAAAATGGTATTTAGATTGGCAGGACTTTTTGGAGCACTTTCTTGTTTACAAGCTTCTTGTATGTGCTATAATGTGCCAAGAGCAGCAGTTTCTGAATTTCTGGATTTCATTCCAGGTTTGTTATCTAAGGGAAAAAAATCCAATGTTCAGTAACAAAATTGATTATCTTCATGAAGCAACTAAGCAGTTGTCTTGACATTGTTCTTTTTGCAAGGCTATTCCTGGTGTGCAGAATGAGGTTTGCTGAAGAAGTCGATGAGTTCTGAAGCAGAACCATGAGTACAGGGCTGAGAAGCTTGTGCACAAATCATGCTGAGATAACACTGACTAGCTGTGGTCACTCTGTCTTCTGTTATTTTAGTAAAGATGATGCAAAAAACATTTCCATGTGGTACAATATTTAAACAGTTTTTTGTTCAGTGCTCATAATGCCTTAGGAAGGAAGGTAATTATTGCAGTTTACTGGTGGAGAATTTGAAGCACAGAGACATGAAGGAATTTGCTTAGATTCTCACAATGAGTTGGGATTATAGCTTGTCTTCTTAACTCCCAGCTCCTCATGCTAAACTTTAGTGAACCGTTACTTCCCCCTATAAATTACAGGGCACTGTGTAATAAGAGCTGTGTGTTTATTTCTGTGAGGCTCTTTGTTCTTAGTCTAAAGCCAAATACAGCCACTGAAGAGACTGATTTGGAGCCAAGTAAATGTTATTCATATTTTATGACATATTACCTAATTGCTTCTGATATATAAAACCCATTAATCTTGTCTGAGCTCTCCCTATTCTTTATAGAACAATGATGAAATCTAAGATAATGCAGGCTGTGCTACAGCTTCATTGAAGCATTTCTAGAACTGTTATTGAGTCATTTTTAGTTCTGTTTAAACAATTAGCTCTTACAAAGAGGATGGATGCTAAAGGGAACAACTAAGAGACTGACCTAGCTGTGGAATTTTAAATCCCATTTTTATGGTGTGTTAGAATTGTTTCTGACTGAGAAATTCCTTGCTAGTGTGCATGTTTGCTTTGGGGGAAGAATTGAGGTAGGGAGGAGGAAGAGAAAGGAAGGAGAAAAGAGAGAATTTATATTATATTGCTCATGTTAGGAATTGTTTTGCCTTGGGTTGGTCTGTGACTGCCTCATGGACCACCTCTGCTCCCGTTTTTCATCATTATGATCTCATTCATCTCGCTGATTTTCATATAAATATTGCTTAATGTTTGAGCTTTTGTTACTAGAAACATGACTCCCGTAATTCCTGCAGTTTGCAACCTGTGCTATTCTTCATTTGTTTTGCACTACGCTAGTACACCAAGTAGCTGTTGCATGGGATGATTTGAAATGCTTATTTATAGTTTACCTGGCCTCAGATAACACACTGGGCCTCTTCCATGGCAAAAAAATCCATTCCACTGTTTGAAATAATACTAAGTTTGTGGACGAATGGATGGTTGTAATTTCGTGTTATGAAATATGTGCAACTTCCTCGCAATGAGATTTCAATAGGTCCACAGTTAAGTGCTGTTTATTTATATTTCGTTGATGTGAATCCCCCATTTTACATGAACACACTGTGTTTACAACCAGCGCATGTGGCTTTATGATGGGCATAGATAAGCCTGTACTACTGTCAAAGTGAGTGGTTTCAGTGTCCTTTCCTCAACACCCCACCCCTTCTAGTGCTGTGGTTCCTGTACCTACACGATCAGCTGTTTCACTGAGCCAATCCCCCTGAGCAATGTAAACATGGCATGTCTTTGTTTTCTATCAAGAAGCACAAGTACAGAATGGCTTAAATTTATTGTGAAATTACTGCCTGAGTAAGTGAAACAAGGTGCAGGAAAGGAAAAGGGATGATTTTTAGTTAACATGACAAGTCAGTGGCATGAGCAGCCCTCTCTGCTGAGTAGGTCACCCTGTTTGTGAGGTACTTCTACCTTCCCTAAGGGAAATATGCTTTGAGTAAGATTCTTTTGTTTATGGAAAATACTTTGTTTGACTTAGTGGAGGCTTGGTACCACCGTATCTCCTTTGCCATTTTGCCAATGGCACGTGAATGTCTGGTAACGTAGGGTGGTATTCTTCCTCAAGCAGAGATGCATCTAGAAGGCTGAATTACCTTTGAAATATTTAAACAGGCAATGTATTCAGCTAGCAAAGATCAGCTGCATGAAGTGAAAATGCACTGGCATCAGTCACAAGGAGGATGACGAGACTCAATAAAAATAAGAGACCTGGTGAGTTTTGGAAACTAAACTGGGTAACTAGCTTAAGCCCCAGTTTTGCAAGCTGTTTTGGTTAGATTGATGTTTCTAAAGGAGATCTGTATTGACTTTTATTCAGCAGTCTGTCTGCATAAAACAGCTTGAAATCTGAAGGCCTGTGTGATTTTCGTGCTGTAACACGTAGGAACATATGCTTATATAAATGCTGACTAGTGTTTTAAAAATAGCTTAAATGTAATATTTCATCTTGTTTTTTTTTTAATTCTCTTCCAGAGTTCTTGTCTCAGCTTTTCAAGGCTGAGGGATACGAGCAAGTGGTCAATGAATATGTGCAGCGAGAAACTGTGAATAGGAAAGAAGACTTGCGTGTTCCAAGAGTTTTTCTTCAAAGCAAATTTCAAAAGCCTTTCAGTAAGACATAAGTTCTTGCTGATTAGCAACAGCACTGCTTGTTTCACATGGTAACTAGCACGTAGTTTTTCCTTGTGTGTGCTCATCTTTCTGGTAAATCAGAAATTACTGCATCTAGTACTTGAAGGATCAGGTAAAGCACACTAAATATGGTTAATTTTAAGCACTAGTTTTCATTCGTTAGTATCACAACTGTTGTTTCCATTTTTATTAAAAACTATTTTTTAAATAAGTATCCTGTGTTTCCTCTCACTTCTGTTTTTTGTGGCCTGTTAAAGTTACAGTATTTCATCTGCTTTCAGTACTTGTAGGACTTCTGAGTAGAATTTCTCAGATGCGGGAATGGAACAGACTCAGTGAGTGGTATAATGTAAGCTGCCTTGGTATTTTAATAATGGTATCTTTTTAATGTGCTCAGCATTTAGATATATAAACAAATCTTTATATTCTAAATAAAACCCTAATTTATCTGATTTCATGCTTGAAGAAAGTTGTTACAGGATTAGGTTGTCTTTATCCCTAATTAATTTCAGACATTCTTTGTTTGATGAGCAGAAATGGTTGTGGTTGTGCAAGTCAGTGAGTCAGAAGTAGTTTCCTTTATACCAGGTGTAGTCAGCTGCTTCTTTCCTGAGCAGAGGTCTTAATTCTTTTTCATCACTCTCTCAGGAAAGGTCTTAGTCTTTGCTGTTCCTATCATTAAAAGCCACTGTATTAATGCTGTGGCTTATAGCCTGCCATGGACTTAACTGCTTGAAGGAACTCCATCCTTTCCCTTCAACAGCACTGGCACTTTGCACTGCAGAACCTCTTCTTTGTTCTTGGATGATATAATCTCAAAAACGTGTCTGGATCTTTAACCTGCATTTTGAACAGGTGCTTTTAAGCAGAGGAAGCTCAGAAGTATCTAGTGATTCGTGCAATGGGCTGTGATGATCTTGTGTAATGTATGCGAGTTGCAACGAGGGAAATCCTAGTGAAATACTAAGATTTGGGGTTTTTTTTGTGTGTAAGGGGAGGTCAGACACTGGTACAGGACCCAGAGAGGTTGTGAAACCCTGGTCCTTAGAAGTACTCAGAAATAGACTGAGCAAGGCCTTGAGCAACCTGTAGCTTTATCTGAGGGTGGCCCTGCTCTGAGTAGGGATTTCATTTCTTGCAGTGTTTATTAGTACGTGATTGATTGACTCAGGCTGCTGTTCGCTGGACTTGTGTGTTGCTAGACGACCCTGTCATAAACAGTCGTACAGTGATGTGGACCAGAGCTGAGTATTTGCCTCTGTTTATGACAAACCAGCCATAATATGTGATAATGATTATTTTTTTCATCACTCTTACACTGTCTCTGTGTGCGTGGAGGGAAAGAAGTAAGAACTTTTCCAGCATAAAGCTTAAGGTTTCAAAGTTAACCACTCAGAATTTTTTTAAACAAATTGGAACTGCCTGAGGTCTTACTCGGTTGATATGTTTAAAAATAAATTTGCAGCAGATCATTGCTTTGCATCAGGGCACCACAGCTTTTTAAAATCTGATACCATGAGCCTCAAAGCTGGATTTATTAAATCATCAAACTTTGGCCTCAGAGGAGAAAGTGATTAAACCACACAATTCTCCTAATGACTCTGTTGAGGAGGGTTATTACATGACATCTCCTTTTTTTATGGAGAGTATCATCCCAGGGATTTATGCATTGCTGACCCCTGCTGTGCAACCCATTAGCACTTTCTACCATACTAGTAATAAATATCTAGTAACATTTATAGTAAAGGAAAAAATATGTTAAAAAGGGGTATAACAACAATAGCATTATTCTAATCTGAGCAGTCATCATTTTGTGGCTTCCCTCAGCAGATGTTCGTCGTCAGTGCAGCAGTTCTGCAATGGCTGCATGTAGTCTGACCTCTGTTGATTTTTAGTGGGGTTTGAACACGCAACACCAAGTGCCTTACACAACTGGATGTTTGGTCCTTTTAGAGTTTACAGCACATAAACGAGACTGAAGGATTGCCTTGTGTGATGCCCTTTGCTATAGGATTGTCAGCATATGCAAAGGCAAGTACACTGAGCTGGGCATGCCAAAAAGGAAATGAAATGTAGGGGAGTATTAAAAATATTAATCAGAAGGTTTGAGTCAAGCCAATAGACTTAGCTGCAGACAGCCATTGACTTCATTTTTACACTGAACTAACTATTGCCTGAACAATAATACCCCTTTTTGTGGCTGGCTGTAGCTTCAGTGTTTCTCTGTATTTCTACTTGAGGAACTGCTGTCACTTTTGTGTAGCAACTCATTAAACGGAGAGCAGTATTTCTAATTTTTTTATTTCTCATTCAGTCTCATTTTCAGTCAGACCTGGAAAATAAAGTAGCATGCATTAGCACCCCTGCCAGAAATGCCTTCAGCTGTAGTTGTCATAAAGCAGATGTTATTTTGAGATGAATGGTCAGAAAGCTTTATTTGGTCTTTATGCCTCTACTTCTAAATCATTGCAAGTTTTCATAACTGTGGTGAAGTTTGAGGAAGTTGAGTCAGCTTTAGGAAATCCTTGCCTCATCATGTGAGACACAATAACTGATGGGGTGCATGTGGCTGTTGTAGTGCTGAGTAAAGTGGATATACTCCCCCCTACCCTTCAGACTTTCCAAGCTCATGTAAGCTTACCAGAGGTAACACATGCCAAGGATACCTGTATCTAGTACCCTTACTTGAAGAACTGTCCTTAGGGAGATGTTGTAATCAGGGTAAATAGTGTCAAAAGGACTTGAAAAATATATACCTGCACTGAATCATTCTCACCTTGCACAACTTGCTGTGATTGTAATATATGTCTTTATTGTTCTTTGATTTGTCTTCAATCAATGGGGGCTGCTGAGATGGACTCAACTGTCTGTAGTTCTTCCTTGTTTCCCTTAAGATGGGCTAGCTATCTGGCAAGCGTAAGTATTAAATTACTTCAGGCCATAACCCTGTTCTGAGCAATATTTAGAATAGAAGCATAGAAGCAAGTAATTATCGACGTAGTGCAACTAAGAAACCCCATATTATTTATTTATTTATTTATAATTTTTTACATGGTTTGGTGTGCTGTGATTACATTCTCTGATGTTTAATAAAGTAAGAACTCTGGTTAAAACTTTTCCCTGCGCTTAGGGAATCCTAAATGTCACTTTCCAGTATGGGATTCTCTGATGTCTCCTACTGGAATTAGACAACATATATTAAGGGATCATGTTAATGGGGCATTGCCTCAGTGAGGGCATGAGTGAGGTCTGTCTGTTGGTTATTTTCATCAGGTTTACAGAAATATAATGTCTTCGAGTCTTATGACTTTTCTGTCCTTTACTGTTCTGTCAGATTTGGTTGATATTGTCCAATGTGTTTGACAACAGGCTAAGACTAGACAGAAATCCACACATGTATTGTGCACATACTGTATGCATGGGTAAGCTTTCTTTCCTTAGAAATATGGGCTACTGAGAAAAATCCATTTGAACTTTAAAGCAGTGGTATCACAGCAGGGTTTTTTGTGGTTCATTTGGTAGTTAAAAGGCTATTTCTATGCATCTTTCAGGTATCTGAAGGTTCCTTGGGTTCCAAAGGCAGAATATTTAAGTAGTTAATACAACACTATCCCCATGGTTGATTGTGCATCATTTCTATGAAAGTGCTATAAAAGTGGGACCTGAAACTCTAGCATCTATAAGCATCAGCAGTCAACTGTAAAACATACAGCCTTGGTCTCATAGGAGAAAACTGGTATATCAAATCTGAAAGGTCATTTATATACCCAACTGATGTTCTTTCTTTTTTTTTTTTCTCTTGATATGGTATACAGTTTATGCATCTGAATATACTGAGATACAAATTACCAGTTAGGAAGTGTTTTACTAGAAGAGTTATTTGAAAGATATGTATATACTTGGAGAGGATATCATTGCTGAGAATCAGTATGTACAGAAAAAAAGGTAAGTTTATGTTTAATGGAGGAAAAAAATGTTTTTTGAGTTTCACAGGCCAGGAATGACATGCAATTAAATAAGTGGTTCATCTAAAAGGTGGAATTTTGGGAACAAAAGCCTACAGTTTCCAAAACGAGACTAATGTTACAGGCTGGCAGACGGGCATCATCTAATTGTATGAGATATTAGTAATACAATTAGAAATACATAAACTACCTGGGAAGCAGAATTTTGTATTGGAAATATATAATAGATGGTGTTAAAATACAGTTAGCAAAAATAGGGCTTTGTTTATGGATTTTTACTTCCCATAGTGCAACTATGATGAATTTTTCACTGGTTATGCTTGTTGTTATTAGGAGAGATTATGAGTCATTTCAAACATTTGGGAGCAAACATTTACTAGTTACACATTCTGCAAAAACATCTGGCCCTTGGGTGCAGTAGGTTCAGGATATGAGTATGTTTGCGCTCCGTATTTGTAACGCGAGTTCATTTATTAGAACAAAGGCAGATGGTGAGCCTACACTGTGGGGAGGCACACAGAGGCATTGCTTGCAAAGATAAAAGCTATTAGCCAGGTAAGATGTTCCATTAGAGAACCTTTTTCATTCCCACTTTCCAGGCTGCTCTGCACCATTCATTGTGTTTGCAGCAGGGAGAAAATACTGCTGCTGTGAAATCAGGGAAGACAAGGGCACAAGAAAAAGACTATGTGATTCTTCAAAATGACTATTGATTTTGTATACCTCTACTTAAATTATTCTGTTTGGGAACATTTACCCCCATTTCCAGCAAGTCTTAGGTCTCACTCATCCTTGGAAAATTTGGTTGCTTTTGAAGGCCTTTGTCAAAGACACAGGTATAACTGATGCGTGCTTGTAGAATATATGAAGTGAAAGATTTGGAAAGGCAGCTGTGTGACTGAAAATGCAAATCCAGGTTTGTTTTTCTCCCTTAACTTATAAAAAACTTTATACTTCACTGTCACTTCAGTGCTTTTTCAGAGTTCCCACTCTGGGGTGTCTGTGCTGTCTTAGCCTTGTTTGAGCTAGATGTACCATATCAACTATAGCTCAGGTTTCTGATGCTGGTAGTATCCAGAGAACTTAGAACGGGAATAACTGAGGATAGTTGTAGGGAAAAGTCAGACAGTAGACAA